AGGCAATCTCTCCCCTGCTCTTTCTCCTACTAAGCTATTTGATTAGGTACAGGTTGAGCACCTCTTATCTGAAATGCTTGGGACCAGAAGTGTTCTGTATTTCAGATAGAAACATAGAATCATAGAGTTGGAAGAGACCTCATGGGCCATCCAGTTCAACCCCCTGCCAAGAAGCAGGAATATTGCATTCAAAGCACCCCTGACAGATGGCCATCCAGCCTCTGTTTAAAAGCCTCCAAAGAAGGAGCCTCCACCACACTCCGGGGCAGAGAGTTCCACTGCTGAATGGCTCTCACAGTCAGGAAGTTCTTCCTCATGTTCAGATGGAATCTCATCTCTTGTAGTTTGAAGCCATTGTTCCGCGTCCTAGTCTCCAAGGAAGCAGAAAACAAGCTTGCTCCCTCCTCCCTGTGGCTTCCTCTCACATATTTATACATGGCTATCATATCCTCTCTCAGTCTTCTCTTCTTCAGGCTAAACATGCCCAGCTCCTTAAGCCGCTCCTCATAGGGCTTGTTCTCCAGACCCTTGATCATTTTAGTCGCCCTCCTCTGGACACATTTTGGTATGCTTGCACATAAACAATGAAGCTATCATGGAGATGGGACCCAAGTATAAACATGAAATGAATTGGGTTGCTGTAGGTTTTTCGGGATGTGTGGCCATGTTCTAGAAGCATTCTCTCCTGAGAAGAAAGCTTCTAGAACATGGCCATACAGCTCAAAAAACCTACAACAGCCCAGTGATTCCGGCCATGAAAGCCTTCGACAATACAATGAAGTGGATTTATGTTTATCATACATATAACCTGGAAGTAATTTTATTCACAAGATCTTTAATAATATTGTGCATGAAATGTTTTTGTGAAACATTGGAAAGCCACTTATGTGGGCAGGGAGGAAGTGGAGGAAGCGGTGAGGCTGAAAGGAAGCCCCTCTGCCCGCCACTCCCCGGCCCAGGCCTGGAGCAGCATGGCTGCCAGCCTCTGGATGGGAGACTTGGAACCATAAGAGCCTTTGGTACGATGGGAGAGCTAGTTCTGAGTGTGAAAATAATTTGGAATAGGTCAACAGGGATTCCAGCAGGCTACTGCTGGTGCAGTGGGTTAAAGCACTGAGCTGCTGAGCTTGTTGATTGAAAGGTCACAGGTTCGATTCCGGGGAGCAGCATGAGCTTCCGCTGTCCGCCCTAGCTTCTGCCAACCTAGCAGTTCGAAAACATGCAAATGTGAGTAGATCAATAGGTACCGCTCCGGCGGGAAGGTAACGGCGCTCCATGCAGTCATGCTGGCCACATGACCTTGGAGGTATCTACGGACAACGCTGGCTCTTCGGCTTAGAAATGGAGATGAGCACGACACCCCAGAGTCAGACATGACTGGACTTAATGTCAGGGGACTACCTTTACCTTTACTGCTTTGTAGAATTAGCTGATCTGGCAACTGCAGAAAAACATTTACACAAAATCAATGGGAAACCCCTTCCTTGTGCCACACCGATAAAGCAATTTAAATTAAATTATGCCATATATGGAAAACAGCCTGATAATGGGCCAGAATATTCATTGTTTGTTGGAGATCCTTCCCCTGATGTGGATGATGGGATGATCTACGAATCTATCTATATATAAAAATGCTCTGTGCATAATGAGTTCCTTAACAAGAAAAGAACCAATGAACGAAATCACACCAAATTTGGCAACAAAACATCTCACAACACAAGGAGTGACCATCACTCAAAAAATTATGATTTTGTCATTTGGGAGTTGTAGCTGCTGGGATTTATAGTTCACTTACAATCAAAGAGCATTCTGAACTCCACCAATGATGGAATTGAACCAAACTTGGCACACAGAACTCCCATGACCAACAGAAAATACTGGAAGAGTTTGGTGGGCATTGACCTTGAGTTTTGGAGTTGTAGTTCACCTACATCCAGAGAGCACTGTGGACTCAAACAATGATGGATCTGGACCAAACTTGGCAAATATACTCAATATGCCCAAATGTGAACACTGGTGGAGTTTGGGGGAAATAGAAATCTGTCATTTGAGAGTTGTAGTTGCTGGTATTATAGTTCACCTATAATCAAAGAGCATTCTGAACCCCACCAATGGAATTGAACCAAACTTGGCACACAGTTCTCCCATGACCAACAGAAAATACTGGAAGGGTTTGGTGGGGTGTCCTTTGGTTTTGGAGTTGTAGTTCACCTACATCCAGAGATCACTGTGCAGTCAAACAATGATGGATCTGGACCAAACTCTACAAGAATACTCAATATGCCCAAATGTGAACACTGGTGGAGTTTGGGGAAAATAGAATCTTGACATTTGGGAGTTGTAGTTGCTGGGATTTATAGTTCACCTACAACCACAGAGCATTCTGAACCCCACCAACGATAGAATTGGGCCAAACCTCCCACACAGTACTCTCATGACCACCAGAGTGGGCCACAGCAATGCATGGCAGCGGACAGCTAGTTCTTTATAAAAGTGTATCCTTCATGTAGGGGTGGCAAAGTAGTTGTGGACCAGACGAGTGTTTCCAATTCTCAGATGAATTGGGAACTATTGGGTCTTGGTTCTAAACCAATACGCTTAAGTGTTGCCATCACCAAAGGAAACCAGCTAAAGACTGTTGAGTATAACCACCATATGTACTTATGTGGACACCTCCACATTTTGGAGGATTTCACAATTCCGGATAAAGGATACTTGACCTATATTACAAATTGAAGATCCTAACATACAAAGAAAAGTTTACCAGGAAGTGAAAAGACAGCAACGTCAGGATGAATCTCACTTCTGCAGTAAGGTTCTTTCAAAATCTGGTGCTACCACAAAACCTGGTGCTACCACAGACAAAAACCATTTCCTTTTTTTACACAAGGTTCCTCTGCAACTGATGGTAATGGAAGACAGGCTTCTTCTCAAAACGATGCTGAGTGTTAGGAAGTCAAGTCTATCTCACAAATTATGAGAAAATTGTATTGTCGAAGGCTTTCACGGCCGGAATCACTAGGTTGCTGTAAGTTATTTCGGGCTATATGGCCATGTTCTAAAGGCAATTCTCTCCTGACGTTTCGCCTGCATCTATGGCAAACATCCTCAGAGGTAGTGAGGTCTGTTGGAACTAGGAAAATGGGTTTATTTATCTGTGGAATGACCAGGGTGGAAAAAGAACTCCTATCTGTTGGTGGGCAAACGCAGCATTGCCCAAACACGAATCAAGGAACATGAAAGGCACTGCACACTACTTCAACCAGAGAAGTCAGCCATAGCAGAGCACCTGATGGAACCAACCTGGACACAGCATATTACTTGAGAACACAGAAATGCTGGACCACTCTCACAACCACCATGTCAGACTACACAGAGAAGCCATTGAAATCCACAAGCACGTGGACAATTTCAACAGAAAGGAGGAAACCATGAAAATGAACAAAATCTGGCTACCAGTATGAAAAAAAAAACTCTAAAATTAAACAGCAAAACAACAGAGGGGAAACAATCAAGGACATCTAATCACCTCCCAACAAAAGATTGCCCCAGACACTGCCAGGCCATCAAATGCTAATCAAGGTCATCAGTTGAAACATTCACACCTAGCTCCAACAGACAGGAGTCCTTTGTCCCACCCTGGTTATTCCACATATATATAAACCAATTTTCCTAGTTCCAACAGACCTCACAACCTCTGAGGATGCTTGCCATAGATGCAGGCAAAATGTCAGGAGAGAATGCCTCTAGAACAGTGGTTCTCAACCTGGGGTCCCCAGATGTTTTTGGCCTTCAACTCCCAGAAATCCTAGCAGCTGGTAAGCTGGCTGGGATTTCTGGGAGTTGTAGGCCAAAAACATCTGGGGACCCCAGGTTGAGAACCACTGCTCTAGAACATGGCCATATAACCCGAAAAAACTTACAGCAACCTTATGAGAAATTTAATTGACATACAACTAACTACAGCTCCCATGCCTCCATAGCACTGAACCAAGGTAATTAATGGAGATTCATTCTACAGGATAGATGCATCCCAAGGGGTTTTTTTCCTGGAAGCTTTGATATGCTAACACTTTTGTTTTTCTAAGCATGCAGCAACCGTAATGCCCACATGCACATTACATGCACAGTACCTTGGGAAGTCTGACTTGGCCATGGTGGTCCACGCTTTGGTTACATCCCGTTTAGATTACTGCAACGCTCTCTACGTGGGGTTGCCTTTGAAGACTGCCCGGAAGTCCAACATTCGGCAGCCAGGTTACTGATGGGAGTGCGGTACAGGGAGCGCACAACTCCTTTGTTGCGCCAGCTCCACTCGCTGCCAATTAGCTTCCGAGCACAATTCAAAGTGCTGGTTTTAACCTACAAAACCCCATACAGTTCTGGCCCAGTTTACCTGTCTGAACGTATTCTCCCTTATGAACCATCAAGGCTATTAAGATCTTCCGGGGAGGCCCTGCTCTCGGTCCCACCACCCTCGCAATCACGGTTGGTGGGGATGAGGGACAGGGCCTTCTCGGTGGTGGCCCCTCGGCTCTGGAACTCCCTTCAACTGGAGATCAGAACTGCCCCTTCTATACTGACGTTTAGAAAACAGGTGAAAACTTGGCTCTGGAAACTGGCATTCGAAGAATGAGTTACGTTCCTGTGATATGGGTGGATGTCGACGGATAATGATCTTATGATGACGACTGACCATTGTAATTATATGACTGTATTTTGTTTTTAATGTCTTAGTATAATTTGGAATACGACGTTTTTAATGATTGTTTGTAATATTGATGTTGGAAACCGGCCTGAGTCCCTCGATGGAGGTGAGAAGACCGGTATACAAAACTGCTAAATAAATACATTAGGCAGCAAATCTTTTTTTCGGTTTCAGAGTTTTGAAAACTGAGGTGTGCATTAGATTTGATGGTGCATTAGACTCAAGTAAATACAGTATTTTGAGAGTTTTGCCCAACCCCCTTTCATCAATAAGCGAGTTATAACATCCTCACCGTTTTTCAATGGAATCAATGTTGGAATGCAAAAGCCAGAGTTCCTCAACGTTGTCCTGCCGACGGGAAGAGAAGATAAGGTGATGGCCTGTCAAGCATAGGGTCCCCTCCACCACTGGGTAGAAGGGGCGATGGAGGACCACATTGTCAGCCCTGGGTGTCTTGATCAGCTCAGCAAACTCCATGGTTATCCCCAAAACCTGCCGGCAAGTCAGGAAGGTGCAATTCAAAGTCCTTGGCCACTTCCACAGGAGATCCTGCTCTCTGAGATTATATCAGTGGAAATGTAACCGCCAGGGAGAGGTCATTGTGGCTGAATCCAAATTCTTGCTGGATAGAAGACAAAACAGATTAAGTGAACATCATTTATATATTAGCAGGGACAATAAAAATTAACTTTTAGGGGAATTTAAGGAAAGGGAAGGACAACTTACAACAGTGTTTCTCAACCTTCCTCATGCCACAACCCCTTAATATATTTCCTCATGTTGTGGTGACCTCCAACCAGAACCTTATTTTCGTTGCATAACTGTAATTTTGCTACCGTTATGAATGGTAATGTCAATATCTGATATTCAGGATGTATTTTCATTCACTGGACCAAAATTGGCACAAATACCTGATACGCCCAAATCTGAATACTGGTGGGGTTGGGATTAATTTTGTCATTTGGAAGTTGTAATTGCTGGGATGTATAGTTCACCTACAATCAAAGGGCATTCTGAACTCCACCAATGATGGAATTGAAACTAACTTGGCACACAGAACTCCCATGACCACCAGAAAATGCTGGAAGGTTTGGTGGGCATTGACCTTGGATTTGGGAGTTGTAGTTCACTTACATCCAGACAGCATTGCGGATTCAAACAATGATGGATCTGGACCAAACTTGGCACCAATACTAAAGATGCCCAAATGTGAACATTGGTGGAGTTTGGAAAAAAATATCCTTGACATTTGGGAGTTGTAACTGATGGGATTTATAGTTAACCTACAATCAAAGAGCACTCTGAATCCAACCCACAATGGATCTGTACTAAACTTGGCACATGACCTACATGGCCAACATTGAATCATAAAATCATAGAGTTGGAAGAGACCTCATGGGCCATCCAGTCCAACCCCATTCTGCCAAGAAGCAGGAATATTGCATTCAAATCACCCCTGACAGATGGCCATCCAGCCTCTGTTTAAAAGCTTCCAAAGAAGGAGCCTCCACCACTCCAGGGCAGAGAGTTCCACTGCTGAACGGCTCTCACAGTCAGGAAGTTCTTCCTCATGTTCAGATGGAATCTCCTCTCTTGTAGTTTGAAGCCATTGTTCCATTGCGTCCTAGTCTCCAAGGAAGCAGAAAACAAGCTTGCTCCCTCCTCCCTGTGGCTTCCTCTCACATATTTATACATGGCTATCTCAGCCTTCTCTTCTTCAGGCTAAACATGCCCAGCTCCTTAAGCCGCTCCTCATAGGGCTTGTTCTCCAGACCCTTGATCATTGGAGTCGCCCTCCTCTGGACACATTCCAGCTTGTCAATCTCTCTCTTCAATTGTGGTGCCCAGAATTGGGCACAGTATTCCAGATTTCCCTCCTCCCCAGGGCCATCTAACCCCTTTATGCCCTGCAGAGATACACAATCAAAGCCCTCCTAAGAGATGGCCATCCAGTTAAGCATCTCATCCACCTACATGGGATGGGAAGGGAAGAGATTGGGCAGAGAAGGGCATCTCTGACTTCCTTGCATTGTGCAATGGATTTGATGCCTTGGAGGGAGGGGGAGAGAGGCAAAACCAGGGCTAATCTATGGGGCAGGGAGGGGCCCCCAGAGAATCCCACTTACCCTTTTTTGGGAGGTGTCAGAGGGGGCTTCCAGCCTCCATGGGAAGAGGGGGGGCCTCAAGGAAGCCTTCCAGCCAAGGGAGGAGCCCTCTTCCAGAGGGAGGGAGGAAGGGGCCAAGAGCAATCCCACTCCTTCCTCCTCCTCCTCCTCTCTCTGTTGCCAAGAAGGGGCAGGAAGAGCTCCCAATTGGTACCCCGGATGTTGAGGAAGGGAGGGAAGAAAACTACAGCAACCACAGTTCGACTTCACTACGGTGGGGGCGGGGCTAGAACTGGCCACTCCGAAGCCGACTTGGGCCTCACGTGACAAACCTCAGCGTCCAATCCGCCTGCAGGAGATGAGGGCGGAAGTGAGGGGGGGAATTAAAGTCAACGGACCTCATAGGCGGCTCTTTTCTTTTGCCCTTACCGGAAATGCCAGTTAGGGAAATCGTCCGGATAGGAACGCATCCTTGATTAAATGGTTCCTTTTCAAATTGTTTCCTTCCACACAGCTGAATAAAATTCCAGATTATCTCATTTGAACTGGAGTCTATGGCAGTGTGGACTCAGATAACCCACTTGAAAGCAGATATTGTGGGATTTTCTGCCTTGATATTCTGGATTATATAGCTGTATGGAAGGGACCTAACAGAAGCTGAAGAGATCAAGAGAAGGTGGCGAGACTATACAGAAGATCTGTATAGGAAGGATAATAATATCGAGGATAGCTTTGACGGTGTGGTGAATGAATTATTCATTGGCCTATAAAGCCCTAAACGGTTCTGGGCCAAGTTACCTATCCGAACGCATCTCCGCCTATGAACCCACCAGAACTCTAAGATCTTCTGGGGAGGCCCTGCTCTCGATCCCGCCAGCAACTCAGGCACGGTTGGCGGGGAGGGACAGGGCCTTCTCAGTGGTGGCCCCTCGGCTGTGGAATGCCCTCCCCACAGATATTAGATTGGCTCCCTCACTAATGGCATTTCGGAAGAAAGTAAAAACTTGGTTATTTGAACAGGCGTTTGAATAGGCAGTGCAATGAATTACAATGAATTATAGAAAATCGGAACAACGGATGACGAGCTTGGATTATGATCTTAGTTATGAGACGCTAGCAAGTTGTTTATTGATGTTTATTGATGGTTATTGATGTTAACTGCTTAATATATTATTGTGTTAATTGTTTTTAATGGGTTGTATGATGTTTGCATTGAATTTTTGCCGCTGTTTGTTGTGACCCGCTCTGAGTCGCCTAATGGCTGAGAAGAGCGGTATACAAATAAAGCAAATAAATAAATAAATAAATAAATTAGAACCAGACATCCTGAGGAGTGAGGTTGAATGGGCCTTAAGAAGCATTGCTAACAACAAGGCAGCAGGAGACGACGGGATCCCAGCTGAACTGTTTAAAATCTTAAAAGATGATGCTGTCGAGGTGGTGCATGCCACATGCCAGCAAATATAGAAAACACAAGAATGGCCATCAGACTGGAAAAAATCAATTTATATCCCCATACCAAAAAAGGGAAATGCGAAAGACTGCTCAAACTTCCGTACAGTGGCCCTTATTTCTCATGCCAGTAAGGTAATGCTCAAGATCCTGCAAGGAAGACTCCAGCAATACATGGAGCGAGAGTTGCCAGATGTTCAAGCTGGGTTTAGAAAAGGCAGAGGAACGAGAGACCAGATTGCCAATATCCGCTGGATGATGGAGAAAGGCAGGGAGTTTCAGAAAAACATCTACTTCTGCTTCATTGACTATTCTAAAGCCTTTGACTGTGTGGATCATAATAAATTGTGGCAAGTTCTTGGTGGGATGGGCATCCCAAGCCACCTTGTCTCTCTCCTGAGGAATCTGTACAAGGACCAAGTAGCAACAGTCAGAACTGACCACGGAACAACAGACTGGTTCAAGATTGGGAAAGGCGTACAGCAAGGCTGCATCCTCTCACCCAACCTTTTAAACTTGTATGCAGAACACATCATGCGATGTGCGGGGCTTGATGAATGCAAAGCTGGGGTGAAAATTGCTGGAAGAAACATTAACAACCTCAGATATGCAGATGACACCACCCTGATGGCCGAAAGCGAGGAGGAGCTGAGGAGCCTTCTAATCAAGGTGAAAGAAGAAAGCGCAAAAGCTGGGTTGCAGCTAAAGATTATGGCAACAAGAATGATTGACAACTGGAAAATAGAGGGAGAAAATGTGGAGGCCGTGACAGACTTTGTATTTCTAGGCGCAAAGATTACTGCAGATGCAGACTGTGGCCAGGAAATCAGAAGACGCTTACTTCTTGGGAGGAGAGCAATGTCCAATCTCGATAAAATAGTAAAGAGTAGAGAGATCAGACTGGCAACGAAGATCCACACAGTTAAAGCAAAGATATTCCTCGTAGAAACCTACTGATGTGAGAGCTGGACCATAAGGAAGGCTGAGCGAAAGAAGATAGATGCTTTTGATGCTTTTGGTTGGAGGAAATTCTGAGAGTGCCTTGGACTGCGAGAAGATCCAACCAGTCCATCCTCCAGGAAATAAAGCCCGACTGCTTATTGGAGGGAAGGATACTAGAGACAAAGTTGAAGTACTTTGGCCACATCATGAGGAGACAGGAAAGCCTAGAGAAGACAATTATGCTGGGGAAAGTGGAAGGCAAAAGGAAGAAGGGCCGACCAAGGGCAAGATGGATGGATGGCATCCTTGAAGTGACTGGACTGACCTTGAAGGAGCTGGGGGTGGTGACGGCCGACAGGGAGCTCTGGTGTGGGCTGGTCCATGAGGTCACGAAGAGTCGGAGACGACTGAACGAATGAACAACAAAATGGAAGGGCTATTTGTGAAAATCCTGCTGCGGCTCCTCCAGGATGACATCATGGCAACAGTCTTGGACAGCAATGGCTCCCAAAGTGACCCATTTAAGGTGGAATCCGGTGTCAAACAGGGATGTGTTATTCCCCAACCTTTATTTTCCATCTTCATCACTATGATACTTCATCTTGTTGACGGGAAGCTTCCCACCGGAGTGGAAATCATCTATCGGACAGATGGCAAGCCATTTAACCCTTCAGCAGACTGAAAGCCAAAACCAAGGTCACAACAACATCTGCTATAGAACTCCAATATGCTAATGACAATGTCATCTGTGCGCATTCAGAAGAAGACCTACAAGCCTCCTTACAGGGAGTGGTCAACCCTTCTGTTTAAGGAGCTCCACTGGCTGCCATTCATTTTCCGGACCCAATTCAAGGTGCAGGTTTTACCTACAAAACCCTGGACCATTTGGGACCTCCTAACCTTCGTGACCGCATTTCTGTGTACGAACCCACACGATCTCTTTGATCATCTGGAGAGGCCCTACTCGTGCTCCCACCTGCATCACAAGCGCGATTGGTGGGGACGAGAGAGAGGGCCTTCTCGGTGGTGGCCCCTCGACTCTGGAATTCACTTCCTAAGGATATCAGGCATGCCCCATCTCTGGCAGTCTTTAGGAGGAGCTTGAAAACGTGGTTGTTCCAGTGTGCCTTCCCAGAATAATGAACCCTTAGCATTATGTCCTCTAAAAGCACTTTATACAGATTTAGGACTGCTTCTACGTTTCCACCAATGCCCCACTTCCTCTATCTTGTTCATGCCCAGCATTATTTTTTAACTTTAATTACATTTGGCCCAGCCATAGATTTTAAATGTGTTTTGTGCTATTGTTCAATGTTTATGCTCTTTGTGTATGAGATTTATTTTAATTGCTTTGTATTAGTATTAGTATTTTGCTTTGTATTGTGGTTGTTATTGCTTGTGTTGATGTATTGTGGGCTCGGACTCATGTAAGCCACACTGAGTCTGTTCTGTCGCGTGCTGGGCCTGTAACAGCTGTACTTTTCTATAGGATGTATACTTTAAGCCCAGCGGGAAGCCAGGGGGCCTCAAAGAGAGGTTCTCAGGGATTTTTCTGAAGTGATGGTCTTTAGAGTCTTTAATGATACAACAAAGTCTTTATTATGGAACAAACAACAAATCTTCAAAGGTTCAAACAACACTTTAAGGCTTTCTTAGTCTAGTCTTCAATGGACTGGCACCTGACTTTGATTAACTAAACTTTCTCTGTAGGAAAAACCCTTTTTAACCTCTCCCAGGCTGCTTTCTATCTATGCCTCATCGGTGTGGGTGCTACTACCGAATCCAAGTGCGTCTGGGTATCGAGCAGACCTTACCGGCTGAGGCTTGAAGATATTTCAGCTGAGTTCAGTGAATTTCAGTTTCCCTGGATGGTCAGTTTCCCTAGATGATCCTTTTCCCTGGGTGATCCTTTTCCCCTGGACTTCAGTTTCCCTGGATGCTCCTTTTTCCCTGGATGCTCCCTTTTCCCTGGACGGTCAGTTTCCCTGGATGATCAGTTTCCCTGGATGTTCTTAAGAAAGGAAGCTTTTCTACGGGACAAGCTGGTCTACGTCTTATAGCTTAGCTACCTTATGTGAGACTGCCCAAAATGGCTCCTTTCCCTCCCAGAAGCCTGAACAAGGGGCGGAACCAAAGCTTAATTAAGATGGACAGGAGGCCTGCCCTATAACTGCAGACTTCAACAGAAAGAAATAAAGTTGGAGCTCCTGGTACAGCCGTACCAGCACAGAGTCCCTTGGGAGATGGTAGCCAACCCATCCCCAACCATAGACCAAGTGCAACAGGAACACATACAGGAGAACCATAGGCTCTTGGACGAATCTCAATGGATTGTCCTTGACGAATGCACCGGGGATGTCGAGGAGGAGAACAACACTTTTCACCTACACAATTCACACCAACAGGATCACTTTTCTGGAGACCTACACACTACATTGCACAAAAGGGGCCCTGTCATTCCCGAAAGTAAACAGGTCTTGGTAGTAGGCGACTCCCTCCTTAGAGGAACAGAAGCTGTCATTTCCAGACCAGATGGGATGGCTCGAGAAATATGCTGCCTACCGGGGCAAAAATACACCATATCACTCAGAGGCTCACCAGGCTCCTCAAGCCCTATCACCGTCCTCCCCTCATGTTGATTCATGTAGGAACCAATGATACTGCAAGGCATACGTTTCAAAAGATCACAAATGATTTTCGAGCTCTAGGAGCAAAGCTAAAAGAATGTAATGTACAGGTGGTCTTTTCATCCCTCCTCCCTGTTGTAAGACACGGACCCACAAGAGCCAGAAAAATAGTACAGGTCAATGACTGGCTTAGAAAATGGTGTCAGGAGGAACGCTTTGGCTTCCTCGACCATGGCCT